TTTTTTAGACCCTAACATACATAAGAGGAGTGATCAGAAAGTATAATTTCTGGCCTCCTATGAGGTAAAGTGAAATATAATAAACTTTTTGGAAAGTAGATTAAGTTTACTAAATTGATGTTTTGGACAATAATAATATGATGGTTGGACAACCTCCAATATGCGGGCTTTGCTTAAGTATATGTGTCTTTGCATGAAAATAATGTCTAATTTTTGGATGTATTACTACCAAAATGAGGGAATAAACGTACAAGGGGAATTGAGGTAGGGTATTGAAAGGTCGACCTTGCCCAATTACAATGTTCTTACTTAAGTAGAAATACTTATATGCTTGTTAACTATAGTCGACTTTGTATCGAAAATCAAAAGTTGTATCTAATTGAACGAGAACGCGAACGCGAATGCGAACTTTTACTTTCCGTATTAGACGGGAAAGCTGAAGGTCAGAGCGTGTATCGACAGATGGTTGATGAGGGCAATGTCAACCAATTATGGCTTCAATCCCCGTATTCCGTTGGCATTTAACGGCTGCCGGGAGTGAGGCCTAGAATTGAAGAAAACATTCCATTAAGAGATTAACAAAAAACGTCGCCATCGAATTGGAAGCACGCACAGCTTGCTGCGAATACTACCCGTGTAATGTAAACCGTTGTTGAGAACGTGCTCAACCCTTTATTTATATCGATTTCAATGAATGAGAATTCAATTATTAAAAGTAACATGTTCTTCTTATATTTGAATATAAAATATTGCAAAGGAATTAATTCATCGATGGGTAGGCAACGCAAACATTGATTAATTTATTCAAATTTTATTAGTATTGGGTGAATAAACATTATCGAGTGTTTAGCATTTCACAAAATATATTCTCACTTGATTGATTGAATCATAAGTCGATTAAGGTAATTAAAATTTGTAGCTAACTAACGGTAACTTTATTGAGCGATCTCATAAATAAATACATTTTAACTTACCCTACATATAAATGAATGATCCATTATATGAATGATCCATAATGCGTATGTTTATCAATTAAGTAAATCATTCGCACTAACTGCCAAATATATTTAAATAATTAATAGAAAACTCGAGGTGAGGGAACAGATACGCGTTGTATAAATTCACTGATTACGTATCGAAATTTGAATACAACAATTTATTGCAAAAATCATGATCACTTAGTGGTAGTGTTTGCACAATTTTTTTACCTTTTCACAAATCATTTATAAATATGTATGACAATTGCGAATGATAATAGCGGTAAATGTGATAATGGGTAAATATGGTCTTAAGTTCCACTTCACCCTTCAACTGAAAATGTATGCAATAACGTATGTCTTCCAGAGCGGACGGTATACGCGCTAAGTGCTTCAATATAATTCGATGTGAATATCGGTTAGACATAATTCGGCAAATATGATGTGAGGACACATGCGAACTTTTGCATGTTAAAATTGTGAAGCCTGAAAAGTTTTGAATTTTAATATTTGTTATTATATGTCTACAGTCCACACCAACTGCGGTGCAACTGACTTTGACGATTTGCAAACGCAAACGGTCAGAAATTCTGAAATATAGAACTGATGAAGGATGTGTGTATTTTTTGGATCCCTAATACGACATATTTCACACGTCTAGCGCCACTTTTGTGATGGGTGAAAAAGGAGAATTCCGAAAAAAAAAAAAACGCGATTAATTTTAATATGCACTTATGAGCAGGGAACTTGTACATTATTTTTTAAAGCTATCTGAAAGTTCAAAACGATTTCATATAGAGTAAATCTGTGACGCTTAGTTATATAACACTGCTGGGTATGTAGAGTATGTACAATTCGCTGCGAGATTATTAAAGTTTTCCTCTTTGCTTTAGTATAATCTCAGGTTTCTACAGTAAGCTGTTTGTATTAAAAAAGAAAAAAAAAAAAAAAAAATTCAATAAAAATACTTGAAAAAACAAAACAAATATTGAAATAATTGTTTTTTTTTGTTTTTTTTTTTCATTTTTGTCATCACAGTTTGACTTTTAAAAAAGTTGTATTTTACTTGTATTTATTGAATTTAATTGTAAACATTTTTGTCCATTTGATCATATAAAATCATAAATGTTCGTACATATCCATTCATCAGACATTGTTTACACTTCCACTTTGATAGCAACGCGATAACCGACCGACCAGCACAGCAGCAATTGAGTTGAACGTGTGTGCAACTAATTGCCAGAGGCTAACGAAGGTTAATACGGAACTATTTACAGTACAATTAAATACGAGCAAGCATACGTATGCATACGTATATAAGGAAACTCTAAATAGTTGCTTATAAACGAATTTTGGACACTTGCCATTTAAAGAGTTCGGAACTAAGTTAGTTGTATTTCTTGCAAAACAACGTTTAGATGATTTTTCTTTCTAGTGTTATATATACGTTTATAATGGAAAAATCCCCCTCAATATTGATCGTTTGAAGAAATTTAAGACAAAAGCTGATAAAATTAAATTATACCCGAACGAGATATGCATCCAATGGCATGGGGAAAAAAATCGTCAGTTACCTAGCAAAACTTTTATCGAAAACTGGCCAAATTAATGGGAGTAATTAAGGATGGGAAATAACCTAAAATGGACAGAAATGGCCCAATTCAGGTCATATATTACATATATTGCATGTATTTCCAACTACCTGGATGGGTTGAGAAGATGCACGATCACGTTTACTCGCTCTTATGCTATACAAAGTACTTGAAAAAACTTTAGTTGAATGATTTTTAACACAAAAAACGGACAATTTTTTCATATCCGAGTTATGGGGAAATACATTCCGTTATCGGCTTAGTCCGGTTAATCTCAGCAAACGAAAAACATACAGCAGGAAGATGTAAAAGAGCCTGGACGGAGAGACGGCAGAAAGTCACTGAGCAGAATTTGACATTTAAAGTTGATTAAAATCAATTTTTTTGTTATATATTTTCCATTTGAAAATCTTACTAAAGACGCGTTCATTACACTAAGCTTTTTATCGTATTTTAATGATTTTTGACAAATTTCGGTAGCGGACTTTAACAAATACCCAAATCCCAAGATGTACACGCGAGTATGTGCAAAATGTTAGACGCTACAAATAGACCGATATAACTGTTGTGCTACAATATCCTCACTCTTTTCGAACGACACATAAATACATACGTACGTATAGTATAAAAAGAACACATTAATCAAGCAATGTTTACATTGTTGCAAAAGTCAGCGGAGCGTTTGTGTGAAGATCATGTATTGGACGCTTATATGCGCTTGACTTATAATAAATTAATAAATGCTCGAATAAAAAAACAAGAAAGATGGAAGGAAACTACGACCGATTGACCACAATTAAGCTAACTTGTTGTGAGGCAATTTCCGGTTCAAGTAATGGTGTTATATCGATGACATAAATAATTCACATAAATTCGTTCCGCCATCACATAAATAAATTGAAAGTATTTCATATTGTATTTTGATAAGAGCAAAAAATTTTCATAAAACATTTGTTTTCATTTCTTACTTTCTGATTACCCACAAAAATATAAGATATGTAAACAGATGTAACGCCCACTCTGGTGTCCGAAATTAATATATAGAATACAAGCGTTTACGTAAACATTAACACATAATACGAAAATTCCATATAAAATATCAAGTATGTAACATAAAAGCCTCCACCCACGCTGTATAATTTATATGCTAGAATGTGTGCGTTACTGCACGTGCCATAACATTGCTTATTTTGTCCTTTTTAATACAAGTTTCGAAGGCAACACACATCCGTCGTACTGCTGCGCTTACTCATGCTAACTTATGCTTTATCGAAAAAGCTTCGCGTACAAAATAAGAACTAAAAGGTATGCTCGCTTTATGTTGCCTTCGATAAAAGCAAATGTGCAAATGTGCAAATGTGCAAATGTGCAAATGTGCAAATGTGCGAATGTGTTTGTATCAGATCGTATGTACATATTTGCCAAATGCTTATTTATTGCTCTTTCTTTTCTCAGCGCAGAATATCTGAATTATGAATGAAAGTTCTGCAACTGTTTCGCTCGCCTACACATTCAACTTTTTTTTTTTTTTTTTTTTTTTTTTGGCAAAAAGCTTTTTCCATTTTTCCCATGCAATAGTATAAATATAGAAGCTATGTCGCTCTTTCCCTACATGTTTAATATTGAACGTATATATATATAAAAATATATCAATATATAGATTAATTCAAGAACGCAGCACGCAGCATGCAGCATGTAAAACTTTTTTGCTTTTCAAAAAAATTTGCTTAACAATACTCACCTACACACAATTTCAAATCATGCGGGTGTATATGTATAGCATTCACATGAATACAGGCGCATGCAGGATGTGAGATGTGGGATGTGGGATGCCGTATGTGGGTAGATGAGATGAGAATACTGCACTTGAGAATATATATAAGACGTAATAAAACACTTGCTAGAGTATTATAAATGAATGAAAGTGAAATTGTAATCAGCAAAAATTAATAATGATAATAATATATCTACAATCATAGAAGATTGGTTGTTTTATAATCTTAAGTGAAAACAGTTAATTTGGGATATATTCAGACCAAGAACCAGCAAGTAGAATATGTTCACTTTTTAATTTGTAATTTGCTAAAGGAATTGTATACTTTCAAGCTTTAAATTTCTCGCATGCGATATTAGTGTTTCCCTTTGTTCAGCATGCTATCTTTGGTACGTATAGAAATTAATTCGGTTTTAGCTTTACTTCCATTTATTGTATATACATTTTTTAAAGGAATTAAATACATAAATTTTATTTAGGATTTGTCGTCTAATCTAATTGCAGTGCGAAAGTGAAGTGAATTATTTTTTCGTATTTTTGGTTTATTAATAATTCGAAAAAGATTTACTATAAGTTGT